TGCTGCTCTCTAGAAGGCAAGAAATTTAGCCTCTTTTGTTCCTTAGCACAGCAAAGGAGTTGGAAAGGGGGAAAGCAGACTTCTCAAAGGATTCTTCTTCGGGATAGAACACAATTCAGCTCTGCAAATCTACTGCATTTTGGAGACACCGCTCTATTGCTACAAATGCGTATCTGATCTCCGTAAACTATATTGAATTACAGTTCAGCAGCACTGAAAATTAGTTTTCAAATGTAAGAAGTGTTTTGTTATGTTACATGCAGGAAGTCTTCCTGAGTGGATTTTGAATCTGTCATCTCCTATGTATTTAGTCATTGTTAAATTTTAAAGTGAATACTCATTTTGCAAATAAAAGTCAGGCCTAAGGATATTATTGCCCAGGATTTTGCACATGGTGATGTATATTCTTTACTTCACATACATAAATAGCCTTATGACCGCTTTGGGAAATAAGCGGTATTTTCTTTTCTTTTATTTTTTTTTTGTTTTCTTTGTGTGTGTGTGTGCATGGGGCAGTAATTTTAGAAGTCACTATTTATGCAGGATTTTAGCCTGCATAGCTTAACGTGTCAGTTAGGCTGGAGTGGGCTTTACCTATGTTTTTGCTAACCAATACCAGTTACCTAGGATTGTAGTTCACATCTTTGGAGATGTTTAGACTTTTCCAGTGTGAGTAAAGTTCTCATGAATTATGGAGGTTCAAGGTCCCAGAACTTTTCTCAGTAAGAATGCAATGTTACATAAAAATTAAATTTTTGTGTTATAAAACAACTTTCCATGCATAGTATTGGGATAAAGCCATCACCGGTTGCTTTAACTTCATGTTGCATCTTAATCAGAGCTAATTTAAAAAAATTCTATAAGTTCTTAATAACCGTGAGCTTGATTTTGCAATCATTGGTGTCTATTTTATTAAAAAAATAGTACTAAACTGCATATACTATGTATATACTAAACTACGTACAGATATGTATATGTATATACTAAACTACATATAGATATATGTCTCTTAGAGTTAATAGCATTTTAAAATCTAATTGAAAACATTTTTAATGTTAACTTCAAAGATATACATTATTTACTAAACATATCATTTATACTTTTAGACAGTAGGATTATCTATCTCTGTTATTCTTAGTGTTGTGTGGAGAAAACCCAAAGGCTTCTCTTTTTCGCACTGCAAAATTCGATCCTATCCTGTCTGGAAGACTCTAATAACTAAAAAGTAGGGAGGAGATGGCAGCAAAAGAATCAACAAAGTAGGAAACTAAGTGATTGAATGCGAGCAGAAGTTTATAGTAAGATCTCCCTTTCAATCGTTGTGTTTGGTTATCTTAATTTGGCTCTGGGCATTTGTTTTGATTTTTATTTTAGGATAATCCCTACAGTCTGAAATGCAAATGACATGAAGCTACTCTCATCATTTTCTTTTGGTGTAGTAGGAGAAAGGCAAGGCAAGAACCCACATATTTTCTATGGTTCAACAGGTTCAGTTCTAACAAAGGAGCTCTAGAAGTGTTACTTGTGGTGGTAGATGTTAATACTTGCATAAGAAGGAGACAAAAAGATTTTTGGTGGATCTATGTCTCTGACACTGCAATTTGCAGTCTTGCATGTTATTAGAAACCGAACTTCAGAGATTTAATATGACTTAAAACTTTGATATACTATCTAGGTTTCAGAACATCAGTTCTTTCTTTTTTTTTTTTCTTTCATCTCTGAGTTGTTGGGGTTCTTTCTTTCTGAATTTCTGTCTGTAAAATGAATAAAGCTCATTTCAGAAGTCACCAGGGGTTTAGGGAATAGAATTATAAAAAGAAACGTAGTAAGATAATTCTGAAATACTCCGTTGTACAAATGTTCAAGGGGATTCTGCAATAAACTGGTGTTTTTGAGAGCATGTTAAAAAAAATAGCATTTTAAAGAGGCTGCTAGGCTGAATCCTAGATTTGCCAGCATCTTTTTTTTTCTTTTTTTAATAGATGTTTTTATGATTGTTAGTAAAATGAACCCTATCTCAAATCTTTCCAATTATTTTATGGGCCACAGTGGCAAGACCATTTTTCCTTTCTGACCTGCAGAGAATGAAGTAGATATTTTTATTCTAAAACAGCAGTAATAAGAAGATAGTTAATTGTTGATTTCTTATTTAAAAATAGGGGTGTAATACTGCTTTCCTTGTCTTTCCTCTCCCACTAACCTGGTTGAAGAGAGCTGCAGCGGAATAGTTGCAGCTCCAGAGAGAGTGAAGAGTTACTACAGATGACAGTTACAGGAGTTACAGGAGGAATAATTAAATAATTATACAAAAGGAACATATACGAAGTTAAGAGAGTAAGTTGTTTTAAGATGTGAAATTCTTTGCGAGGCAAGTCGTAGAAAGTCATAACCCTAAGATATTGAAAGTTAGGGCGAATTCTAGCAGGGGAACAGTGCAGAAGTTTTCTGCTGCATAGGGAAAAATTGAAAAATCTGATGTAAATCTTTATCTCTACCATCTGCATTTAGATAGCACAAATATATGTTTGTTTTTAGAATCTTATTTACCATATTCCTTCTTGTAGACTTGTAATAAGTAGTATTGGAAAACACAGATTTTTGCTGACATGAAGTGATTTAATATCAGTTGAAAATCTTAACCCTGTTTTTCAGTTTTACTAGTACTTGAGTGAACTGAGTTTGAGCTTTACCGTAATGGGATCCTGGGAATATAAACCATGCAAACTGTCTTGCACATGACTTGTGAAACAAACATTTGGATTAGTGGAAGTTATAAAAAGAATTGCAACGTTAAGGTGAGTTCATATTTTTTTGTGCTCCATCTGCATTTATTGGTTCTCCGCGGTTATACAACATGGTGCATAAATGAACAAAAACCCAAAGAGTTTCTGTTTTGTATTCTCCCCCCTTAGGGTTTCATTCCATTTATACTTTATGTTTTCCTACTTTGGAGACCTGGTGAGTCTTGGCTAAATCTAGACAGAGAAGTTTAGTCAAATTACTCTGTTTCTTTGGGGTTACCACTTACCCTGATTTGATATACAGAGTCTATTATGCAAAGCTAAGAAGTGTAGCTGCAATATGTTAGATTGTGTGCAATTAATACAAAGTTTAAGTGACTTATATCTGTAAAATATGTGACAACGGTAAATGCAGGAACCAATAATTAAAGTATTCTGGTTTGTACTAAACCTACCCAAAGCTGGAGAGTGCAGATGGAAAATAGAAAAGGAAATCTTCACTTCTTTAACTTTTTTTTTTCAGGCTAGAATAGATGTTACAGAGAGACAGAGACTACATTTCATACGATAAATGACAAAACTTAAAATACAACTCAATGGAATAATATAGAAGTGCAGGAGGAAAAAGGACGGGAAAGCCTGCTATATTTTAAATATAAAGTTGAATACTGAAAGTTACTTTACCCTTGTCTTTTAAATCATTTCTGATACTGGTGTCAGTGTATCTTTTCAACTCAATTTATGAACATAAATACTTGTTTACCTTGGAGATTTGAAACTTCACCTAATAGTGTATCTCAAGCCATGTTGAATATTTGTGCCAACTTA